GAGACAACTCCAAGAACACACTCTATCTTCAGATGAACAGCCTGAAAGCCGAGGACACGGCCACGTATTACTGTGCAAGTGACACAGTGAGGGGAAGTCAGTGAGAGCCCAGACACAAACCTCCCTTGCAGGGAGGACACTGGTCCCCAGGGGGCACTCAGGACCCACAGAGCACAGGACTCAGACCCAGGAGCAGGTGCAGTTGGAGCTTCACCGCTGGTTTCCTGTGATGATCTGCGGATTCTTCTAACTCTCAGAGTTTCCCTAGGGAATATCTCTAACTTAAAAATAATAACTCTGTGCCTACTTTTTAGGCACAGAGTGAATTCAACAGTTATATTGTAATAGGAGAATATAGTCTGTCCTATAGAAACAAACAGCCTGTGCTTTAAAGACAAGAAATGTCTCTCTCAGGGATCCCTGCATCAGAGTTCTGATGACGCTCAGTAAACACTCTCCGATCAGACTCACTGTGAAGGTAAAGGTCGCTACTAAGTGTTGGACGACAGGCTGAAAGTTTGACAGTATCTTCTTCCATCACGCTTTGTGGGGACAATCATTTGGTCAAAATCTAGATGGTCAGCCTATTTTTATTGAATTGCTTCTTCAAATGACAAATTTGGATTTGTTGTTTGGTTTTGTAGTTTTTCCTAACCATGGTGGCCTGGTATTTTTTTTTTTTTGGTCTTTTCTGTAATCTCATCTGTAAACCCATAAACTCACCAATTGTCTTTTATTACCTTGGTGCTAATATTTTGTATCTGTCTATTCTCCAGAATCTTTAGACCACGATGGTCAAGACAGGCACTAATTTGTCTTTGCAAATTCAGGATTCCGGGAGATCTCTACGTCTGAATGGTATCATTCAGTTCTTCATGTCGCATGTTGTATCTTCATCTTCACAGTCACACAGAATGTGACCCCTCTGTTTCTGCTTTCACCCAGAGGTTCCACATTTGTCCTGTTAATCTCCTCACCTTATTTCTGGTGGCTTTGCTACTAATTTATTGAATGATATCACTAACATTTCCATTATCTAGTGACATACAACCTTAGGTTGAGAATTTCAGATATATCAGTATAAGATTCCATACAAGACTGAAGATTAGGTGTGAATAAAATTATTAATAATGGCTTTCTGGATAGGAAATAACTTCCTCTGTCAAAGGTAAATTGTTTTAGGGTGACACGCTCTCTTTCCACACTGGAATGACTCTTGAGTAAACATAGCAGTGTAGTTGTGGAAGAAAAGGTCTTCTTTTGTAGTGATT